TTAGAGTCAAGATATATAAGTAACTAAGCAGTAAGTATAGCTAAGTTTGGATGAAAGCAGTTTGGTAAGTCTTGATTCAATGTTATCGGAAGAAGTGTGCCTGCACATGAAAGCTTATACCTAGAATTAAACTTTGTTGGTTTTCAGGATGCCACTGGACTTGAACTTTGTTCTGTTGCTTCAAACCAACTCCCCCCTGAATCTATCATGATTTACTAAGACAGCCTACAAGTTCAGCGTAGGTGAATATAGCTCAAAATAAAATGCCTAAGAGGAGCTGCGGTGGCTCAAGTGGTTAAGACGCTGAACTGCAGGCTGTGGAAGGTCAGTAGTTCAGCAGTTCGAGACCCGAGTGTGCCGCATGACGGAGTGAGCTCCCGTCTCTAGTTCCAGCTCCTGCCAACCTAGCAGTTCAAAAGCAAGAAATTGCAAGTAGATAAATAGGTACCACTTCGGTGGGAAGGTAACAGCGTTCCGTGCGCCTTGGTGTTTAGTCATGCCGGCCACATGACCGCGGAAACGTCTTCGGACAGCGCTAGCTGTTCGGCTTTGAAACGGAAATGAGCACCACAACCCCGGAGTTGGATTCGACTGGCTTTCGAGCAAGGGAACCTTTACCTTTACCTTAAAATGCCTAAAAGACATGACCAATCTATGATGCTGTTAGCCCCCACAGAATGTTTAATATTTTCCCCCACCAGGTTTCTGGAACTTTAGCACAAGTTGGAAGAACCAGGTTTAATTTACTTAAATGAAATTATGAGAACGAATATTTCTTGAAACATTAGAACCCCTTCCTGTGCAAGTAGTTATTTTTGACCCATTAAGTTTGGTTCTTTCTGCTCATTTCCGTGTCTTCTTCAGCACTGGTTTCCTTCCCGCCCGATGTGTCTTTCTTCCTCATGGATCAATTTCATAAATGATTCCAACCAATCAGGGCTCATGGAAAATCATTATGCTAATTTGGCTAGTTAGTTCTCTCTTTCGGTAGATTGTGTGCACTTGAAATGTTATTCTACACGAGGGCCTTAGGTGAATAAAGAAATCCTTAGGTAAATGAAGAAATCCTATGCAGATTTACACCTGCCGTTGATGGACTTCAGACTGGAGTAAGTCTGCCTAAGTTTCCACTCTGTAATACTTCCTACGGCAGCGCACTGGTTGGCGTAACTAGAAATTTAAATCAAATGTTTAATTCAAGACTCGTTTTTGTATTACAGAAATACTAAATCATTTCCCTCTTACTGCCAGCAATCGTTTATATTCTGTAAACACCGTATAACCCCTTGTATATCTTATTCATGTTGGGGAATAGGAAAGTAAATTTGCTTGAATAGGAAAGCTCTGGGGTGTGCGGGGGTGTGTATTGAAACCTGATTAGATGCTTGTTATTTCCAGAATATTAAAGTGGCATTGAGGCAGATAAACCTTATGAAAACAAGACACTTCTCTCCCTTTTAAAACAGTGTCGGGAGCAGCAGTCATTTTATTAAAATACAAGAACCATCTGGTGGGGGAAGGCTGATTTATGGCGACCCTTTTGGGGTTTTCAAGGCCAGAGACATTCAGAGGTGGCTTGCCACTGCCTGCGTCCATGCCAGGACCCTGGCGTTCCTTTCTGATGCTTCTGTGACTGTCGAATCTAAGATTACCTGGCTCCGTTCGGATTCCGATTCCGATGTTACTTTTCGAGGGGCGAGGGTTTTTTTGCAAATTCGTTTTGATAATATAAGTTTGGTTCCTCTGTTTCAGCCCACGTGGCTTTTTAACAGAAGGAAGGAAAGGAAAGAAAGGTATTCCTTGGAGGTCTCCTAGCCCACAGGGTCAACCCTACTTAGCTTCCAAGATCTGAAGAGATTGGGTTAGCAGGCAACAGAACCATATTGAATTGCCACTGAGCATGAACTGGAAGAACTCATCCACCACACAAGCTCTAAAGCAGAGGTGTCAAACTCATTTACTACGAGGGCCGGATCTGGCATAAATGTCACTTTGTTGGGCTGGGCCATGCGTGCCATAAAATGTAACGCCAGGTACCGGAGATATAAACTTTATAAAGGACACAGGCAAACCCAATTAACAATATTACTTTTAGTCGAAATGCAAACAAAAGCAATTGATTTCTAGCAGGGAAAGCCAGTGATTTATTGGGGAACCTACAAAAGCCCCAATAAATGCATTTAATCATATGTGAGACTAGTTCCCCCCCCCCCGAGAGATACCATGAAAGGGGAAGTACCTTATATTTCCATACATACGAGTTGCTCGCAGGCCGGGTAAGAGCCCTGGACGGGCTGGTTCTGGCCCCTGAGTCTTATGTTTGACACCCCTGCTCTAAAGTGTTAAGAGTATGAATGCTGGCATTTATGGCGCGTTTTGACCTGACCCCATCCAGAGGAGTTTCTTCCTCCTTCCCCCTTTTCTGGAAGATACCAGCTGGCTCAGTTGCTACAGAGCTTGCCTTAACTCTCCTTCCCGTCTCTCATGCAGAAACTCTGCTCCCTTCTGTACGTTGCAGCTCGTGTCCTGTGTTTACTCTCCCCACACTGGCACTGTGAAAAATAGTCTCATGGGTGCACCTTCATCCCCTACTTTTGCCCTTCCCTGCTCGGCTTTCAAAAGAGATTTTGAATTCAGCTCGTACTTCCCCCCCCCCTCTGAAAATCAGTAGACTTGGATGCAAGAACGGTCCAGAATAATCATCTGCAACAGCTGGAGTATACTTGCATTAGAAACTCAGACTGGAGGGTTATCACGGCATTCTTAAATGCTCTGTATAGTTCTTTGTCTCTCCCCTTGACAAAGTGGGACAGAATATTCAATGCCCAATAGATCTAATTTGGCATAGTCATTCGAGTGGACTAGGACCTGGGAGACCCTGGCTGGGATCGTCACTATGAAACTCGCTGGGTGACCTTGGGCCAGTCACCGTCAGGAAAGTTTGAGATCCTGTGTGTGGTGAACCTTGTGTGTGGTGAACCTTGATGACGTTAGTGGTCTCCCATCCAAATAATGACTTGGGCCTGACCCTGCTTAGCTTCTGAGATCTGCCGAAATCTGGTTAGCCTAGGCTATCCAGGTCAGGGCACTAAATATTCACAAAATAAATACAATTTAAAATTGCAGAACAAGCTATGGTGGATGGGGAAGAGAGTATGTGATTTGAACAATGTATGTAGATCGTAGAATTCCGTTTTTCTTGTTGCAGAATTTGGGTTGCCCTATGCTAGAGTGCAGGGAGTAGTGTTATCACACTCATATCTTCTCCCTTTTCAAGAATTCTTCAACACTGGTATAGTGATCTCGTCCTCTTTCCTCCCTCACACACAGGATTTCCCCTTTGTTTCTTCTTGCTTGCTTGCTAAGTAGCCCCTATATCTATTTTCTTCTTATTTGTTCATCTATGTCCCACCCTGCCATGTTATTGTATATCTTGATGCTGGCCCAGCCCAGGGACTTGAGAGAAGAGACAAAATCACCTACTTATATTTTACTTCTGTAATGGCACACAAGAGGCTTTGGAAAGTTCCAAAATAAACAAAACATTTCATTTAACTTGGCGGGGAAAAGGTCAGGTGGAATCAGGGGTAGGATGTATGAAGTGAACCGATAATAGAGGTAACTTTGTATTCACACTAAATCCAGCTAGTATGTCTCCAGCAAGTAAGTGGGTTTTTTGCTTTTCAGCAAGGTCTTTGAAACTTTGAGGAGAGAGGCTTTCTTTTCAGTTTCTGCTCTAACTCACAAGCATAGGTTTCTGAGTTTCACTGACAATTCCAATTTAGAAGGCAGGAACCTACAATCAAGTTCCCCAAATTATTCTATATATACAGACCAGGGATCACTCCTCTCTTAAGAGTTATCTTCCTTTTCACTGGGCAGGGATTACTTCTCTTGATTAGAAGCTCTGACCCTTCTTGGCTTGAATGGGGAACTTCCGTGATCCTCTCACTCCTCTTTGCCTCCTTCCCAGTTCTCATTCAGTGCTAAACTGCCTCTCCTTCAACTGTCAGTTCCCAACTGTCATTTCTTAACTGACACTCTCCACAGAATTCCATTCTGTTTGAACAGCCTGTCACTCAAAGGTTCTCAGACTCTGCTAGGCATTAACCCTTGACAGTCCATCATAGCTGGTAATAAAGCAAACTGGCAAATTAGCATTCTGGCCTCATAGCTTCCTTCCATATCTGCTTTCCCTGTGCTGCTCCTAACCATTTTTGATAGAAAGGCAGAATTTTCTACTAACTACCCATTAATAAAGTCTCCTCTCTGTGTCTTTGTAGGCTGCTGTCAGGGTATATTCTGTGTAAATAAAAATTGAACCAATCGATAACTTGTACCAAAGGAGTACCTTAAATTACATTTATCTGTGCATTTGTCATGACAGTAAAAATCTATATGTGTCCATAGGTAATGTGATACACTGTTCTGAAATGGTGTTCAGAGTCTGATATTTTTTCTTTCCCACATGGATTAAAAAGTGTATTTGAAATGCCGCAGGTGGCTTTCATTTCAGACCAATTTATAGCTTGATGTTCCCTAAATCTTCACAGTAAATAGTTCAGCTGTAGACAAGACAAGATACATTTGTGGCCAAATGTTTGTCTTCCTTCTTAAGGAGACTGAGGGCCCAGTGCTTTGCAGTCTCAACGTCAGCTCCAAAGAAAGTTAATGTGAGTAGCTCACCTACAGGTAGTGCCAAAAATGTTCTTTTGGACTTTTAATGTTCTGAGAGATCCTGGCGAAGCGAGCCCTGGGTAAAAAAAATAAAAGAAAAATCAAATCCACTCCAAGGGTGAGTTAAGTGTTGTGAACCTTCTCAGTGTGAGAAGTTTAGCTTTACTGTGTGAGAAGCTACAGCGATACTGCTGGATGCAGTTAATAATCCCTCACATCCTTAGCCTTAATAGGAAAGGATAACAAAATTAGAATAATGTATTTGCTTTGGTGGTGTACCAACTGTTTGGCTGACTTTTCCCATTTGATACTTCCAGCCTATCGAACGCTAAAAACGGAACCAGGAGAAAACAAAGATATGAGGTCAAATATGATGATGAACGAGTGATCCCTTTCCCATGAAAGCAAGCAACTACTCCAACCCTTGGTGAATATTTGGGCTCATCACGGTAAGAGTTTGTGTTAACCGTTTTTTTAAAAATAAAATCGTTGTACAACTGCTATACTGCAGTAGACCTGAAAATCAAGATGGTGAGTGTGAGGGGTAGAACTCTTAAATTGATTACTGCAGGACTGGATTAATCCCCTAACTGGCAAAATAGTGACTCACCTCATTTGTCTTAATAACTGACGAATGAATATTTAAACTTCCTTCTTTGAAAAGCATTTTATTATGGTGGGTGTCGGATGAAGTAAAATCTTTGGTCCGTACTGTTAGATTTATGACGATGTAGATTTATGATGGTGTGGCAGAGCCTGGGCATGTACCCCAGCAACACAGGAGCCAATGAGAGTGAAGTGGCACTCTGAACCAGCCTATAGGAGTTGAGGGAGGGAAGTTTTGTCAGTTGGGTGTTGCGAGTTAGAGGTGGGGAACTGTGAGAGATAGAAAAGGGCTAGTTGAACAGGAGTGGGAATTAAATCTGTGGAGGTATCAGATCACTGGTGAAGTATCCCTCTCTCAGGATAGCTGAGGTGCCACAGTATGTTGTCAGGGCTTGCTGAGTCTCATGTGAGACTAAGTTGCAGCCAAATTCTGTATTTTTATGTTATCATCTTGCCTGGCAGAAGTCGCCCCCTCCCCAATTTATCTTTATTTTCATACAAACTAATACATGCATCATATTATATTATCATTTTCATGGAAGCAAAAACAAAGTAAAGCAGTAGTAATAATTATACTAGAGATCTCAATAATCTGTATAACCAACAGTCATGGTCTTTTCCCAACAACTGTTCCATAAAACCACAGAACAAAAAAAAGCAGTTTTTCCCCTCTTGGGCTTGAACTGTTTGAAACCTAACACACCACAACTCTTGGCTGATTGTCGATATTTGCCTCAGTTTATGTGTGTCTTTCTGAATAACCCTCATCACTTTTAAAAGCAAACCACCTTGTTCCTGTCAGTTTTCCTCATTCACATTTAGTCAATCCAAATTTGGAGGGGTTTATACAGGCCAGATTCTATCCCCTCAGACCGTTGTTAAGTTCCTGTGGGAAATCCCAGTGCCGTGTGTTAAGTGGGTAATTGTGATGAAGAATAGCCTGTGGGCTGTGTCTTGCCCCAGGAAAACCATCACAAGTGGGTTGCTTTCCTTGTACACGTCACCACTCGATGTGACTGTCATCTTCTGGAAGGATGATAGCTGCTCAGAAAACCGCACTTAAGTGGAATAGAAAAGCAGGTTTATAATGTTGCTGCATGTGGTCAGGGAGATACACGAACACTAAGCATACGTTAGTGTGGATGTTACCTACTTCCCTGTTGGCCGAAGTCCGCACAAAATAGCTGGAATGTGAAAGGAAGAAATCCTCCTTCCACCTCATTCCTATGATGAAAGAGCTGCTACCTCTATACGTTTGGAGGAAATTTTAAGAAACCTGGTAAAATAAATAAGAAATATAGGATCCTGAGGGGAATAAGTCATGCAGATGGGTTGGAGAATTAATAATTCAAGCAGGCAAAATAGTTCCAAGCATTCAGTTCTAGTACTCTCATATAAAAAGACAACTATTCAGGGCTGAGGAATATATTTCACTCAAGCACAGGAGGCAAGAGTCTAAAAAGGTAGAGTAAGAGGGTAAAACAGGCTAAGTTTGTGTTCAGACGCGCCGTTTGATCTGGTGTCGTGACGGTTCAACAACAGATTTTATCTGCGCGATCACACAGTCAACATCTGCCTCCCGTCCCCGGCTGTTGGTTTACAGCTCAAAACCCCCTTTAACCCGGAGTATTTTGTTACCAGGTCCCAAAGTGGTGTTTTCTCAGTTCTCCTGTTTAAAGCCGCATTTCCCCCCTGTGCGATTGCTCCTCCGGTATCAAGCCACTCCTGGTGGTTTAAACCCCCTCCCCACTCGAAAGCTGCTGCGGAAGCCCGAGGCTTCCGCTTTTCGCCCGCCTCTTTTTTTCTTGGCGGTGTGCGCATAGGCGGAGCTCCGCCACCACGTTTAGAAAACCGACATTTAAACTGTCACTTGTTTTAGTGTTTAGATGAGTTTGGGATCTCACGGAGGCCATTTTCGGGTCAAACATTTAAAGGGAAGTCTTTTGTTGGAGGGGTTGGATTGATTCGCCCTGGTGGTTCTGTGCATGCGCCATGATAGTCCCCCCCTTCTACGGAGGGGCACCTATGCGCATGCGCAAACTGAGAAAAAAAATTAAAAACCGCCGACACACACTCCTGCACGTCGGTAGTGTAGACAGATGGGAGTGCTGTGACTGCGTGGTAAAGCGGGATAAGGGAGGTAAGTGTGATCGCGATTGTCCAGATCAAATATAACGCGGTTAGAACTGGAGCAGTTTAACCCACTCTCAGCACGCCATCTGACCGCACCCTAAGACTATCTATCAGGGCAGATCCAGCAGTTCCCAAGGTAGGGATCCAAGGGTCCAGGCAACAAATAATCCAAAATGTGGATTGTCACATTGTGAAAATGGGTGTTCAGGCTGGGGATTGTACAGTTCACAAGACAATGGTAGCCCTTGCCTGGCAAGAGATCTTTTTGGGAAAAGATTCTGGGCCTATTTATAGAGTTTAAAAATGGATTAAAAATAATTTTTAAAAAACCCTTTCTTTCCAGGCTTGGAAAGGAGGTGGTGAGTGGGCTCGCTGGTATCCTACCTCATTGAAAAACTGGAATCAAGAACCAAGAGGGTAAGAAAGAAGTAAAATAAAGAGCCAATATTAAAAACTAAGTTAAAACTTATAATATACAAAAATGCATGTATTTATTAGAAAGACAGTTAAAAACATAAGGGCCCAATGAAACACATATAAAAAAATACAAAACAAAAAAATGACAACAGAAAAATGATGTGTCAGAATTCCAAAGGTGCCTGCAGGCTCAAAACGTTTGGTGATACTTGCCTTAGACGTTAGAAATAAAGTAAAATAAAGTAAAAATGATAGAATATTTTATTATTTGCAGTATCACAAATAGCTCACTGCACCTTCGTGCTAACAGCCCTTTTAGAAGGTCATTATACAAAAACACCAACTGCTGTACATCTGTGTATTTGTGGAGCCTTGGTCCCAGAAGATCTTCCACATTATATTTTGTTTCACCAGAACCCAGAAATAAATTTCATGCTGGGATTTTAAAGGATATACATTTTTCTTCTGTGGTGGTGAAACTTTTTTTTTTTTTTTTTTTTTGCTTTTCAATTTGTATCAGTGTGTTTCTTAAAGAGAGGGACAATTTACCTCGGTAGCCCAGGAAATACGAGCCAGAGTTTTGTTTGGAGGCTGAGCTATATGAATCGTATATCGTGAAGGTGCTTATGTGCTTTAAAAAGGTTTTATTAGGCTCTTCCTTTTGCCAGGGTTGTCTAGGTCCCTCTGTTGCATCCTAATTGTGATGGCCTTTGGCCTTAGGCAGTGAACATTTCGCTTGCTTGCCTTGCATCTCCAGAGGGAACTCGCCAGACCTGCCCTTTCTCTTTGCCAGGAAATAGTTCACAGAGATGGTCATCTCCCGAAAGCTTATGTAACCAAATAGACTATTTATCCAGATCAAATGTACTCTTTCATCTGACTGTAACAAGTTTTCTCTGAGCCTATGAATCCGTCATAGAAAAGAAACGCTCTTACGTGTGCTATCGCAGATTCTAATCAGGTTGTGACTAACTTACAAATAAACACTTTTTGATAGGGATTTCAGTCTGGCCCACTACGTTGAATGTTTCCCGAAAATCTTTTTGTTTGCCCTCTACTTACAATCTTAAACAGCTGGACGGAGATAAAGAGTTTTGGGGATGCCATAGACTGGACTGACCATTTTAACTTTTAATGGGCTGTACTGTGAGGAAAAATCTGCTTCTGGCCCCGGTCACACGGAGAATTTGCTGTGTGAAAGGCACGAATGTCGGGTGGATTTTCAGGGCACGAACACACCGCAACATCTGGGAAGCGTAGCGCACCCGTGGCCAACCCGTGGCGTCCCGCTGAAGATGCGGAGTTAATAAGTACCAAGGAAAGTGCATTAGTATCGGGAAAACGTGCAGCACAGGCGGGCGTCTGATCGCGGGAGCGCTAGTATCCCGTGGCATCCGGCGCCCATCCACATCCTGTCGCAAACCGGATGTTTTTCGTAAGCACATGTGCACAAACACGAAACTGAAAGCAGTGCTGCTCCACGGAACTGCACATGCGCACAAACACGAAACGCTTGTGTGATCGCACCACGCCGCTTCTTTGCCATGCTGCAGCATCGCTGTGTGATCGCCAGCTAACAGGCGAAGCACGGAGACTCAGGGGACCCTGTGATCGGGCCACCACACTTTATTTTGCTCCAGGGCGAACAACCACACCTCCCCCCCGCGTTATCTGGCCCATGTGACCGGGGCCTCTATAGCTCTACATTGTAGATGTTTTTTTTCATGTGAAGAAAAAAAATGGTTTAGGGCACTATTTTTACCTTGTTATTTATGTATTTCATTATATTTATACCCTGCCCTTCCCGCGAGCGGGAATTGTTAGAGACATAAATGTGTACTGCTGGTGTCCCCCCCCCTCCCCCCAAAGTCTTTTTGGTCATTTCTGTTTTTGCTATTTTCTTCCTTATAAAAGTTTTGCAAAAATCTTTTTGTTTGCCCTCTACTTACAATCTTAAACAGCTGGACGGAGATAAAGAGTTCTGGTGGTGCCATAGACTGGCTTAACAATTTTAACTTTTAATGGCCTGTACTGAGAGGAAAAATCTGCTTCTACAGCTCTACATTGTAGATGTTTTTTCATGTGAAGAAAAAAATGGTTTAGGGCACTAACTTTATCTTGTTAGAGGCATAAATGTGTACTGCTGGTCCCCCCCCCCCCCCCCCCACTTTTTTCTTTTTTCTCTGTTTTTGCTATTTTCTTCCTTATAAATGTTCTGGAGTTCAAAGTCAGGCTCGAACTCACTTGGTGCCCAATTGAAGCTATGGTTTGTTTTATGTCATACCCCTTGTTTACTAGATTTTTTTGTTTTATATTTGAGCTTCCTGAATCATTACTTTTATTTTTGTGTTGGCTGCTGTTTGGTGTGAACACATTTCCTCCCTAATAAGCCAGATCTAAAAGTTTATAGACCAGAGAGAAAGCATACCGGCATTCTGGATTTTGGAAGAGGAATTGGTACATAAGTCTCAATGATGCAGGACCCTGGCAGAAGTTCTTTATACGGCCTGCCATAAATTGTTCTGTCTTGAGCTATGTTTTCCAGCTGGAACTACATCATATCAATTTTATATAAAAAAACAACCCTTAGTATATAGGTAGGTTCCAGTTGGTTGCACTGGTGTCATTATGAACACAGCGTGCTAGAATCTGTTAGATATTTTCAGGGGGATGCTGTTGGGCTGCAGTAGAAAAGCTATATTCAAGTCCAATAGCTTCTTAGAGTCCAACCAGATTTTCTGGGTGTAAACTTTTGAGAGTGAGAGCTCCATACATCAGATGCTGTCAGATCTGACAAAGACTTGGTTTTTGTACCCCACTTTTTTCTACCTTTAGGAGTAGGGCTCCCAAACCTCGCCAAATCGTGGCGGGGGATATGCATGTCTTCGCAGAATCCGTGCCGCGGGGACGGCAAGATGCATTGTACCGCCGTCGCCAGGACATGACACTGCGTGTCGCTCTGGCAACGGGGCTGTTTGGAGCCCCGTTGCCAGAGCGACGTGTAGCGTCATGTCCTGGTGACGGCGGGTGCAGCGCGTCTTGCCGTCCCCGCGGCACGGATTCTATGAAGACTTACGATCCCCCGCCGTGACTTGGCAACCCTATTTAGGAGTCTCACAGAGGCTTACAATCGTCTTCCCTTCCCCTCCCCACAACAGGCACTTTGTGAGGCAGGTGGGGCTGAGAGAGTCCTGAGAGAACTGTGACTGGCCCACGGGCACCCAGCAGGCCTCATGGATCTCAAAGTGGTTGACAATCGCCTTCCCTTCCTCTCCCTGCAACAGGCACCTTGTGAGGCAGGTAAGGCTGAGAGAGTCCTGGGAGAAATCAGACTAGCCCAAGGTCACCCAGCAGGCCTCATGCGTATCAAAGTGGCCTTCCCTTCATCTCCCCCCAACAGGCACCTTGTGAGGAAGGTTGGGCTGAGAGAGTTATGGGAGAGTGGTAACTGGCCCAAGGTCACCCAGCAGGCCTCATGTGTCTCAAGGAGGCTGACCATCGCCTTCCCTTCCTCTCCCCACAACAGGCACCTTGTGAGGCAGGTGGGGCTGAGAGAGCCCTGAGAGAACCGTGACTGGCCCAAGATCACTGTCAGATCTGGCAAAGGGAGCTTTGGCTCTTGAAAGCTTACACCTCAAAAAAATCTAATTGTTCTCTAAGGTGTTACCGGACTCAAATCTAGGCGCTGTTCAAATAAGTCGCCAAGGAATCATTCTATAAATTATCTGGGAGCGGAACTCCCTAATAGCTTCCCTGTAGGATCTGGTGGAAGTGGCCTCATTATTTCTGACGAACCCCCAGAAAGATATACCTGAGAGACTGCAGTATCCATGCTGAGGCACCCTTGTTGGCCTGTATTTAGCCCTTTACAGCTACCATGGGATTATCTCAAGGGGCATTGATCCCAAAACAGGATTTACTTCCCTCCCACTGAGGAGTTATCTTCAGGTACAATTGAAAGGGGACTGAAACAAAGCCTTTGAAATAATAATAATAATAATAATAATAATAATAATAATAATAATAATAATAATAATAATAATAATAATAATAATAATAATAATAATAATAATAATAATAATAATAATAATAATAATAATAATAATAATAATAATTTTGATTTATTGATCGCTTTTTCCCACACACCTGTGGGCTCAGAGCGATTTACATTTACTCATGACATTTGGACTAACAATACTCGTGGAGGATAGGGAAGACAACATACAGTATATTTTTAATTACACACACATTGTAGCTGGCCGGAGGATTCATCTGCGGGCTGGATCAGTCGTGTTCCGACGGCTGCATTCTTGTCGGCTGGCTGATGACGTCAGGGCTTCTTGGTGTCATGCTGCCACACTGCCACCGCCTGGCCGACTCGCTCCACTGCAGGGAAGCCGAAACAGCTCTTTCATCTTTCGATCTTGCCACGCCTCAGAAGTCACACTCGGCAGCTAACACCTTCCCAGAGGGAGTGGTGTGCCCACCCCCTTACGGGTGGTTTCCAATTTATCTACTTGCCGAAGCTTTCGAATCGCTGGGTAGACGATGAGCTAGGACAAGGCTTGGTTGCTCACACCAGCACGTGGCTAGAACTGCCAAAGCTTGGCAGTTCAGATGTTAATAGTTAAGCAGGGGAGTTATCCCATGCACCACCGCTCCCTGACCTGCTGAATGCATGGTTAGTTCTTGCACTCCCCTCTAGCAAGGATGGCCCTTCTGTTAGAATTTATTTTATTTATTTATTTGTTGTATTTATAACCCGCCCTCCCTGCAAGCGGGCTCAGGGTGGCTCACATTGCCTGGCACAGTGTGCCAAGGTTCACATACAGTCAAAACATTTAAAACTTGAAACATTTAACAGTGTTAAAACATTTAAACAATCAACGATTTCCAATTAAAGTGCACTCAGTGATTATTAACCAAGATGGCGTAACATTTAATGCAGGCTCAGGCAACATGCCATGCAGACCCCAAGGCGGTTTGGCTCAATCTCACTG